AGTGAAAACCAGCCTTTAGCGACGTTCCCGTTGCCGTTGCCGTTGTGGTTTTCTTAAGCTCCCCATTTTTCCTGACAGTAGCTATGAACGAGTTTCTTATTATGATTAGCTCGTCAGACAACAGCCATTTACATTCCGCTTTAATAAGTATGTATTTGAGTTAGTTTTTTAATACATGTACGCACCCTTTCTGTGGCAGTAAAGAACACCGTCTACGATCGATTTGAACATAACTCTGGCCTCGTCCTCTCCCAGTTTGGATCGCTCTCGTAACAAAGAAAGAAGATCACCTTTTGGAGCCAATTCCATGACAATGAAGAAATGATCAGCTCCTTCAATCAGGTCGTAAACTCGGATCACATTATCGTGGTTCAGCCATCTCAGAATTTCTACTTCTCTCTTTAGGAATCTGTCATTTATCCCTTTTCCGCTCTTTAAGAAATAAAAAAAAATAACAGCTTCATGGTAAGCATTGTCGTATAACGGCCTAGCAAGAAAACACTTTGTAAATGACCTGAAACACTTGCACCCGGCAAAGGCTAACAATAAGAACAGCAATAGAATTAATCTTCCGCAGGCAGGGCGAGAAAGCTAATCCCGCTATAAGCCTTATTTGCTAAGTTATCCGTCTCCCGGGCTTAGACATCCAAGGTGGGTCTAGGAACAGCTGACTCTGTGACGCAGATTTTGCTGGATACTATCAGTCTAAAAATAACGTGAGTGATTAGCTTAGGAATAATTAAGGCTTATAGAGCGGTTTTCAGTTGAGTGTCAAAAGTAATTAGACTATTACTTTGGTTTTGGTTTTGGTTTTACTACAGTTTGAGATTAGCTGAGAAGTGTAATTGGTAAGTAATCGGTTTTGGTTTTGGTTTTACGACACTAAATTGAAAACCGCTCTAAGGAGTAATAACTCTCTAGACTTTTTTTACTCTCTTGTTTTTTACTGATGCTCCTTAATGGCGCAACGACAGCTGCACATAGTCTGATAAACAAGAACAAGACGATAACAAGACGGGACGAGTTGGTGAATTAGAAGTTTATTTAAGTCCGGACAGCTGACAAAGTTTCTGAAGTTTCATAGCCTCACCCTACGTATAGTTCATTCGGTCCCAGAGAAACTAGAATTTATATAGTGTCTATCTTTAAAGTAGGGATACTAAGCTGTCTGTGTGCCCTTAATGTTCCCAGCGATTTGGAAAGGTTGGAATGTATTTTCGAATCTCGAATGTTAATATGTTAGAATGGAGGGAAATCCAGTTAAGTAAGTAAGTCAGTAAGTAAGTAAGTTTATTCAAGTGTCAGGCTAAAATTAAATAACAACAATAAAACCAGTAAATGGGGACACTTTAACATAAAAAATTAAAATAACAAGAAATTAATATATGTTTTAAAACAGCTAATAAAAAATATTTACGATATAAAAATATAAATAAATTCAAAATTCAGAAGATATATAAGATAAAAGTACATAAAAGACATCAAGAAGATCAAAAAGTGCAATTACTACCATAACTATCAGTCAAATATATCCAAGTCAAGTTTGCGAATGTTTTTCTAATATCCCTTGGTATAAGATTCCATAACTTAGGCCTAGTTCATCTTCGCGTGGCCTTTTCCCTCTCGAAGTTAGCTTATAATTGGGTCGTGACGAGTCATAGTCGAGTTTACGTGTCTTCGCAAAAATTGCTGTACCAATCAGAGGACGCGTTATATATCAGCCAGCCATTAAATATATCGAGAACTAGTGGCTGGGATCACTGACAGCACTGAAAAGGGGGCCAACGGTTCAGCTAAAAGAAGTTCTTTTAGTAAAAACAAGAGAACATAATCTCTTGGTAAAAGCCGTTCGTTCTGTAGTTTGTTTAGTAAGGTGAAGCGAAGTGAAATAGCGTCTTAATTTTGCGACATTTTTCTTTCAGATATTTGTCTAAAATAATCAACATTTCAGACCAAATATGGAATGGTGAGAATATTATAATGTTTCTCTGCGCATGCTCTGTCTGTCATGATGTAAAGCATGCCAGTTGCTGGTTTACGCGCACTCGGGAAACACCAACTCCTTTCGCCAAGGTCATGGAGATTCTGTTTCGACCAAAACGTTAATCAGGAAGGCCCGGTTCAAACGTCGAACTTTACATGTGCCGAACCTAATACCAATTTGGGTGGACCCAAATAATTAAGTTCGGCAGTTGATTCAAACGTCGAACCTTATTTAGTCGAACTTAATTGCAAATATAAAAGAGACACTAATGCAAACGGCGGTTATTGCTGACCAAAATGGCAGAAACAATGTGGGAAAGACGAATTGTGGAAATGAAGAGCTTGCTTTTCTTGTAAATGCGATCAAGGAGGGTAGCACAAGTCGAAGAAGGCGACACCAGATGCAGTTAGCCTTTAGTAGCCTTTGACAACCGAAGACGATTTTTAAATTTGGTTGGCTTTCTATTATTGCTTATTCCCAAAGGAACATCACAGTTCAACTGTGACGAGGCTCGTCCAGTTCAATTCGTTCCTTTCGTCGGTTTCTTCAAGATTCATTAATTTTGTTATTTTCTCTCAAAAACATGACTCGCACTGCGCCACCGGACTGCCTGCTTTCCAACCCGCTACACTCTTACGCTTTCAAATACGGAACACTGGGCTATTAGGTTCGGCTAATGAAAACTTCGACGTTTGAACCGGGCCTAAAATCGCCTGCTCTTAAAAAGGAGAATAGAAAGTCCTGTGTACGCAAAATTGTGACTTAGTAAGCACCTCGTGAAATCAAAAAGCATTCATAGAATCGAATGCAAACGTGGCAGTGCATGTGTTACATATTTTTAGATCATTGTTTACTGAGTCCAGCGACAGATACGAGGGAATAATTAAAACTGAAGCTGAAAACTGAACTGAATCAAACCTTTGCCACTATTATAGTTTTTACCTCTCTTTTGTTGACAATTTTGACGGCAACTTCTTTTTTGTTGGCGATAAAGAAAGCTTTTCTCACGTAGGCATAGGTCCCTTCGCCTATTTTCTCTCCGATCTCATACCCGTGGCTCCGTAGCAAAGCGCTTTGATCTAGTTCACTTTGAATGCCATCACTTTCCCTACTCTCTAAAGGTCTCCGCGAGAATTCGAGAATGATGAAAATGATAGGTACCATAATGCAACCAATCAGAATCGAGACAAGAGCAAGCCAAAGCATGACCTGAGAGCCGCGCGCTAAGGCGCATTCTCTTCAACCATACGTGCCTATGACGCCATAAAGAACAGTTCTGTTTAATTAGCTCTGGATAATTTCCATTAGTCCTCTAATGAAAGGGTGTCTTTCAGGGTCTTTCAATATTACTAAATTACAGTACATAGTATTCGACGTTTGAAAGAGCCTCAGGGCTTTTGTTTTATCTGCCTTTCCGTAAAAATAAAAAAAAATATCGATTTAGCTCATATTTGAGTTTTAAATAAGTCGGGTTATAACACAAATAACCGTGCTGAACAATGTTTTCGGTTAAAGATCTTTTTGCTTCTGAAGAAAAATGCGAATAACGAAATTCCGTTTAAGTCATCCTTCGCCTTCAAGGCCGCACTAAATCACGCTGGTGTGGCTTCTCTATCTATATATCTTTTCTATCCACAGCTACTTGACAATGTTATGACGAAATTCATTGTCAACTACAGGACAGACGTATGAAAAACTGACGTCAATTTGTCAACTGGATGTTTACACATTTCTGCGGACCGTGATTTCATGTTTGTGTGCATCCTCGCTCTGACAAGACTAATCAGACTAATTAGCATATTAAGCTGAAATCGCACATTGAGCTGAACTATGGGTTTTTTTTTACGGACAAAATATCGAATGTGAATACATCAATGTTTTGTTCAATTACGCTATTGTTATGCGTTATGATACAAGTTGTAAAATAAAATACACGTATATCAATTTCGTCCGGGATACATTGATTTTGGATGTCATACATCGATGTTGTGCAGCATACATCGCTTTCCTGACTCATTCATGCGTGACCTTAACTAAAAGATGTGCGATAAAACTTGATAAAACTAAAAGATGAGGAAGCGGAAATAGCTTGGGAAACCGGAAGTGATAAAGTTATGACTGCAGTTTTCTCGCGCTTTTCGTGCAGCGTTGTTCACTCTATCAAACATGGCGGACCGGGAGAGTAGCTCGGAGAACAACACTAGATCTAGATCTGTCCAAGATTTTGTTCGCAACATGCCGTAACTAATTTGCAGACGCAATCGGGAAACCCAAATAGGGCGGAGAACAGTAGCAGAGCGGAGTTCGACGAAAATAGCGTCATTATGCAGAGTTTGCAGCTCTTCTTGTAAGATCTGTAGCCTTGTCTGCCAACTAAACCGTTCCTCGCCACAGCTGAAAGACGATCGTTTAGGGACGATGGTGCAGTAATTGTAGAACGTTTCGAGTCCTCGACAATTCTGTTAAAGTCCCTTGAAAGTTTGTTCATAATAAAAACAAGTTCGTTTAGATCAGAGATCAACTCAACTTCATTTGGGAGGGCTTCTTCTATTCTTAGAGTCAAAGTGACAAGAGTTCTCTCGTTTTCTCGTAAACGGCGACTAAAAAATTCAGCAGTGTCGTAGGACGCAGTGTTCCTTTGTCCTTCTGCACTTTCCAGTAGCCTTCCCAAAGACATAAAATATCCTTCGATGTTGGGTAGCCAAATCCGTGCACCTTGCATAGTGCTTTTCAAAGTCACTAATCATCTGCCTCTATTTCCGCCATATTGAAAGTGTTAATTCCCAGGGCCTCTTCGTTTATCTGACTTCCTGTCATTTCTATTTCTGCTTCCTCATCTGTTAGTTTTATCAAGTTTTATCGCACATCTTTTAGTTACATAAGGTCACGCATGAATGAGTCAGGAAAGCGATGTATGCTGCACAACAGCGATGTCTGACATCCAAAATCAATGTATCTGGGACGAAATTAATTTATTTTATTTTACAACTTGTATTATAACGCATAACAATAACGTAATTGAACAAAACATTGATGTATCCACGTTCGATATATTGTCCGTAAAAAAAACCTATACTGAACTGTACTGGAATGTTTATAAAACTGACCATTTGTTTTTCAATGGAAGGAAAATATTTTTATTGAGCAATCGACTAAGCCTGAATCAGTTTCACCAGCAATAAAATTTCATAGTGTGGTGTTTTTTTCTTCAAAAGATGTTTAAAGAAGTTTAATTAACGGCTGTTGGCCGACAAACTCGTGCGCTCTGATTCAGACTAGATAGGAAGTCTTTAAAGCTATCATACAGCCATACGACAATGAAGCCATAAAGTGGCAATTTAGACTGGATCCACGAGAAAAACCTCTTGTCGCGATCTTCAGTCAGGTGACTCGGATATGGGGCAGAGGAAATATTCATAAACTACGAGAACAGGATGGCTAAAAGTACCTGAAAGGGAGGGAGTGATAATGTTAGGGATCTCTTTGCACGAATACAAGGAGTTGGTCTGGCTCTTTTTCAGTCACATTATAGTATGTAAATTATCCAAATCCCCACCTGCCACGGACCTTACCAACGCTTTGCCCTCTTACAGTGCTTAAATTGAAAAAAATGAAGCAGTCTAAATAGGGAAAGAAATCCTCAGGTTTGATCAGGTAAATAGCTGCCTAGCCTGCCTGTATGTATGTACAATTTGTTTTTCATACATGCCTTTGTCTTTCATGATCAAAACAAGTTTTGAACAGTAACTATCTTTATTTTCAAGTTTATTCTACAGAAGGAACCCTCAAAGACTGACTAATTTAATTTTTGGCTAGGCTCAGCAGCACTTGAAATGGTTATTGGACAGCAGAAACCTGAAAAAGATATATATGAATGATGAAAAACTTTCCATCAACCGAAATTTTATGTTAGCTATTCATGATACTTTAATGCACTTTGAATGACGAGTAATCACTTTTTTTGCATTCTCTTTTACAAAGTCAAATCAAACATTTTGATGTTATTGTCTTTATAAAGTTTGCATCAGTACTATTGATTTGAATCGAGTCGTTTAAACTCAAAGTTTTCGTTTTTGTACTCAGACTCAGTTTTCTTGGTTGCTAAGATGTAAACTTACTTGAAGAAGTGCTTCACCGACAGCATCTTGCCTTGCAGTCTGAGGTGCTATGGTTCATGCATTCCATTTCACAGGCCGGAACCGGGTCTTCGTAGACCTTGGGTGCAGGTTTTCTCTCGTCTTTAATGAGATCGAAATCTCTAAAAAGAGCATGAAATTTCTCTGGCAAGAAAGAAAAAAATTCACTTAAGAAAACGGATGATGCGTCTCAAGATTCTTGGACTAAATCACGGAATGCGGATTTGCATCTTACCTATTGACTGACTTACTGACTGATTGACTGACTGACTGATGGACTGAATGCTGACTGACAGACAGACTGACTGACTGACTGACTAACTGACCAACTGATAGGCGGGCTGACTGACTGACCGACTCACTGACTGACTCGCTGACTCACTGACTAACGGACTGATTGAGTGAGTAACAGCCTGACCAACTGACTGACGGTCGGTCTTACGAACTGACTGACTGGATGACTGAATGACTGATAGACTGACTGACTGACTAACTAACTGACTGACTGACTGATTTATTGACGCACTGACTGACTGACGAAATGACGTCATGACGGAGTGACGTACATTTTAATGTTATAGCCATATGTTAGTAAATAGTATTTTGGATCGAGGGCCACAAGTTTAGTTATTAGCACTGTACACTATACTAGGTGCTACCCTCGGTAGAAGTGTTTACTTACTAACTTGTTTACTTACTTACAAACACGTTCATCTCTACTCGCTTCCTAAACCGCGGAGAAGTTCCATAAAGAATGCAAAAGGAATCACGATCAGAAAACAGTTACATAGCACTCACCATCTCGAGGAAGAGATGTCGCTGAAATTACGAGTAGGTGTTAGGAAAACAAGGCAAATTCCCTTCATCATGAAACTAGTGAGGTTGAGAAAAATCTAAAGAAAGACATGAAGACAGAAGACAAATGAGCATATCGGTCACACTGGATACTCAATTAGTTAAGTTCGGAATTTCATTCTAAGCTAAGTGATTTGAGATGCCAGACGCTTTAGCCCAAAGAGGAATGGGACTAGACATGGCCGTGGCATGCACAAGACAGTCTCGTCTCATTTCCTACTCGGCCATAGAGTCCTTTAGATTGCTAAACATTCGTCTATGTGACCCTTACAGAAAAACCCGCTTGCCAGCAGTTTATATGCAGGCTACATTTTACGTATCTCCTTGAATGAATTTATAGGGTGTGCCAATTTGGCGGATTGCCATGAAATAGACCAATTTCGATGGTATCAAAATTCTGCCTAGCACAATAGACCTCAGCACTAGGCTCTGGGGAATAAACCCCACAAACTCTGTAGTTATTTGTGCTCCCCCTCTCTTTCTGGAGGGGCAGGAGGGTATACATTTGGCTCAGATATTCATTTCAGTGTCGGAATACTGGCTTGCATTCATCTTGGCATGGAGATTTTACGAAAGCTTGTTGGGAAACTGGCCTCTTTGCAACGCGGGACATAAACGTTGAACAGTTATTTTATGTCTTGAGGGGATATGGTGTTTGGAGTGACGAAAATAGTGCTTTTTGTGACATCCTGATGACACATCAGGTATGACACATCATCGCGACCTTGAGAACCTGGCCTGGCTACCAAGCCTTTTACCTCCCAGGCTTCTCGTCCAGTGAAAAGCGCGCTCGCAACTGGCGGAAAAATCTCCACAAATTTTTGTACAATATTCGTTCCTTCCATCTTTGGTTTGGGTGTTAATACTTCAAAAGAGAATGGTCAAAATAGCCATTCAAGAGATGAACACGACAGACTGGAAGAGGCTAAAGAAGTGACTTTGAACTAATAGGCGGTGACGGTTGGATTATGTTCAAAGAGTCATTTGCATAATTTATGTAACCTATCAAATTCCATTTCCTTAGCAGCGAACAAGCGTCTCCAATAGATCGAAAGCCAAACGTCAAAGATGGCGACATGGAAAATATTTTGGATTACCTTGGTATTTGTTGCCATCCATTTCCATGCGATAACTTGGGCAGCAAATGTGACTCTTTTTAAGCCTATTACAGCAAGCGCGACTTGTGGTTTGTCCGGAGTGGAAGACTATTTCAGCGTTACGGAAAGGAACAAACCTCCTCGACAGAGAGACGTGTCTTACTGCGATGCATCAAATGCCAGTCTTTCGCATAACGCATCACAAATGGTGGATGGCGAGTTAGCCACATGGTGGCAGGCTCCGAATTCTATCGATAACGTCTCGATCACCATTGATCTTCGAGGAGAACATCAAAAGGTAAGTGAGAAGCTTCGATCCAGTGAAATATTTTATATTCTGTTTGTAAAATGCAGTTGTTAAAACCGAGCTTCGATTGCATAGCTCTGCGTAAACACTTCTTTGTCTTCTCAGTAGGGCTGCTTCGTTGTTAACTTTGTCATCTGAATGAGTGATAGCAAGAATTAAGAACGCCATTCAGGTTGTTGATCGCGACAGTTTTACTCATCTATCTTTTGATTTGATCACCCATTCTGTACCGTTACTTTCAAATTCCTCCGTCGCTAAATTGTGTATGGCTGGTGGACTCAGCCACTCAGCTTTTATAGCTAGTTAAGATTAATTAGTCTATTCCATGTAGCGATTTGTACATTCTAACTTATCTCCTTTTATATGCCAATGTAATTTACATTTAAACGGGTTGAATATTCCATAGTATTTTTGGATGACTATTTTGACTTCAGTTATAAGTGAGTATTTCTTTGTCTAGGTCCCTAACATGCATAAATCAGCGAAAATTAATTATTTAAAAAAAATCAATTTCAGTCAGTTAGTGAACTGACGTTGATTGTTGTTGGTGTGTGTGATGTGACGTTTCTTGTAACTTTGTTATATCTCCCAATTTTTTTGGGACACAAGTTGTAACATCCCTGAAGTGAACATTTTTGTTGCAGTAAGCTAAGGGGATATACATTATTTAATGTTTAATGCAACTTCTCTTGCAACAGCGCTATAAAATTGTGAGACAAGTTGGAAGCAAAATTACCTTGTGTAGCTGTACAGCTCCCTAACAATCCAGATTCTCCAAAAAGTGGGGTTTTTTCAGGGTCCACAGATACCCATCTGGTTTTAAGCCTGATGCCAAGAGCGCTGGGTAAAATAAATCAGTTCATTTTGTTATTTTGCTCTACCAGTTTTACTATGCAAACAAGCTGGTGATTCGTTTTGGTGAATACTTCCGTCCTGGTCAACTTGCCTTCTACAAGTCCAGCGATTATGGTCAGACTTATGAGCCGTGGCATTACTTTGTGTCAACTGCCGATCCTAATGAATGCCAGGACAAGTTTAATAGGCCAATTATCAACAATCCAGTTACAGTAGATCAGGTCCTTTGTATGGTGTATACAACTCCACAAGTTGATCGAAATGATGAGGTATGTATTTATAATCATTTCATACTGAAGATTTTTCCATTCATCACTAACAATTTTTTTGGTTCAGTCGTCAGTGAATTATTATACCACATTCAGGGCTTTCATTAATTAATAGGGCTCCATGACCTGTAACTCCTGTTATGGCTGAGAATACTTGACCAACCCTTGAATGTTGTAGACTAACAAGTTTTCAAGTGATACTGTTGTTGATACAATTCACCCTCAAAGCAATAAGTTTGCTACGGTGTAAAGATCAACATTGACATTATGAAATCATACACTGTAGGGATAGACAGTTACTAACACCTTGTCAGTCTTCCGCAAGAAATTGTTTGCTTATTTTTATTTTTGCAGGTCAATTTAATTGATTGTACATGAAAAATAGAAATAACGAAAAAAGCAAACAGACAAACATAAAAAGGTCTCTTTCTTACAGCATGAACTGAGAAATAAGTTAGTAAGCTTTTATCTCTCACTTTGGGGAAAGAAAAGCCTTTTCAACTTAAGCACATTGAAATGGGTCATACTTTAGGATATGATAGGTCTTTAAAAATGACCAATCACATAATGTATACTATCTGTAAAAGTATTTACTATTGTTAAACTTGGCATTTACATGTGATTGTAAAAAAACTCCCTGGCAGGTAGGTTTATCTCACTGATATTCAGTTAATCTCTCTGTAGAAAGAAGCTGAGGTGTTTTTTGTCTTTCAGGTCTCCTTGTTTGTGGTTGGTCCAAGAGGAGATGTTATGAATCCTTCTAATGAACTGCTGGTTTGTTCTGATGCTGATTAATGTCCTGTTGAAATTTAATCATGATAATTATGACATGCATTAGATTTAAGTTTTGACACATGTACTGTAAATCCTTGAATTAGTGCCCAGAGCGCTCTTTTCAAATTTAGGAGAAGACGAGGAGCGCTTAATTGAGGAGGGCGCTTATTTACTTTTTCCCAAATTGTGGTCAGATACCATTGGTGTTTTTGTAATATACATGTATGTATGTGTCAGTCCCTCAGAAGTCTCAGAAGGATATTCTGGCTCTCTTGAACTACATGTACGTGATATAACCCCTTTAGCTAGTCTAGGCCTTTGAAGGAGTTGCTTTGAAGGAGATCACTTGCTTGTGATTGAACATGAACAAAACTAATATATCCTCTGTTCTCTAAGTACTCTTGCATATAAAACAGGGATAGGGGAGGGGGGTGCCTATTCGAGGGGAGGTCCTTATTTTAAATTTTGGTCGATAGGAGGGCTGTTTATTTGAGAGGAGGCGCTAATTCAAGGATTTTCGGTAATGGTATAATTGATGATTGATGGTTAAAATTATGCAATTCACTCATTTGCGACATGCCTCTGGGAATATTTAAGAACTAGAGAATATGCGTGAACAGAGGTTTAAAGAACCTTCCAAAAATAACAGCTGAAGAATATTGACAGCGGCAGTCTCTGCACAATTATTTTAATTTGCATGTGTAGGTACTACAAAAATAAATACATCCTATTAATATTTTACAAAATAAAGTGGCCACCCTTGGGGAAACAGGAGGTGGCCGCGTAATAGGGATTGGTGGACTTTGAATATTTTTTACCATTGAGTTAACTGCTTAGTGAATATGGAATCACATCAAGACAATCATGATAAATGTGTGTTTGAATGTTTTTATCAATCATCCCTTAATTGGACTCTTATCTGTTATTACCTTTTCCAAAAAAAGACAAACTATGTGTATTAAATTTTGAGTGGGTGTGTAAGAGGGGTAAAGGCAATAGGAAAACCCTCATCGGAATGATCAAAAGGTGGCTGTGGCCACTCAACAAAGGTAGCCAGTTAGTAGGGGGTTTTATTTACAGCATTTTACTGACAATGATTTCGGGACTTTGGTAACTGGCCTCTTAATAAGGGGTGGCTGTGTAATAGAGGTTTGACTGTAATATAGCTCTGATCAGTGTTCTGTATGAAGCTAATGACTAATGCACTGTACATTGTACATTTGTATTTGTCTCAGCAATGGATGAATGTTACCAATATACGGCTGGATTTTATGTCACTTCACCTGATGTTTGATCTATATGCTGAGAGATGGGTAAGAATAAACCTGTTATCATGGAGTTTCCAAGTTCTTTTAATTGGTATATTTATTTCACAACACTACATTGCGTGATCCAGTTGTCTTTAGAAGACGGGTTAAAGGATTTGACTATCTGCTTTCTTCCAAGGAGAGGTGTCTTACCGAGTGATAGGAATAGAGGAATATCACAACCACCAACTCTCTGGATAATCAAGGAGGAACCAAGATATATATATCTTGTTAGATGTTTTGGTGTGTAGTATTGCACTATATTTTCACAAGTTGTGCCATATTTTGATGAGCCTGTAGGGCGAGTCAAAATACAAACGATGAGTAAAAATATAAAGCGATGCTACACACCAAAACATCTAATAAGAGATTTATTATCAAACTACTGTAGTCAATGAATTTATCAATGAAAGAGGGAGAGACGGTCACAGTTTTGCTTGCGTGCGCCGACCTGTACGGCAAACAGGTTTTCTACTGTACAATATCGCTGTATATTTGTACAGTAACTGTTATTTGGACGGTATTCGCTGCAGTTGGATAATAAGAAAATTTATCACTTTTGGTCTCCTTGATATGGGCAGTCAAATCTCAATCTCATGAGTTTTGAAAGAGATTTGTCACTTTGTCATCCAATCAGAAGTATTCTGTTAAACCAATTGTGACTGATTTGCATGCTTTTCCTCTCTTTTTTTGCTGTTTTCATGTACAATTTGCGTGTACTTCATGTTTGGATTCAGACTGATTGGTTCATTGGATTGTTTGTCAGTCCCTTGTTATTGGCCAGAGTGATTACTCTGGTTTTGGTTCCTTGACACTCAATGTGATGTTGTATTCTTCATAGCATCACTATGCAGTTAGAGAAGTCGAGGTAGATGCTTACTGCCTGTGCAATGGACAGGGAAATGGGTCTGAGTGTTTTTACAATGCCACACTGGGTGACAATCAGTGTAAATGCCAGCAGGGAGCTTGTGGTATAGATTG